GTAATTTTTAAAATCTTTCTTTACCGTCTCACAGACCTTGTAATTTTTACTGGGAAATTTTAACAGCTCTCTTTTACCAATTAATACATTTTCCCTCTGTGAGTTTTCATCTGAAAGCAGGAAAGTGAAATTGTGTGTGTGTTTGTGTGTGCGTGGGTACATCACAGTAGCAATCTGCTTCCTTCGCTGTGTACGAAAATATGACGAACAGCATACATCAAATAGGTTTCGAGGAGGTTTGACAAAACCATGAAATTTTTCCCCTTATTTAAGATTAAGAGCACAAGCTGCAATGACATCTCGTAAAACTTACTCTTTTGGTCGAAAAAAAACAACAGCAGTGAACCTGTTTTAGAAAATGCAAGCCAGGACATACGTCAACACAGCAGTGAAGAGGTTAATGTGCTCCTATTTTACACTCAAACAAACAAGTACACAAGAAAATGTATGTCCCCAGCACCGCTGTGAAGCCAGTAGAGAAAGCCACCATGGGACTGGCGCGGGTCGGGTCCAGGGCTGCCCTCAGTTTCGCTTTCGCATTCCTACGCCGTGCTTGGAGGTCAGGAGAGGACTCAGACCTTTGTGGGGAGTTATTGCAGGTAAGTGAGGCTAACGTATCCAGTAGTTTTTCTTCCTTTTCTTTCTTTTGAAGTAAAAAATATCAAAAACTTTACGTCAATCTTTGTGTACTGATCCTGTTCTGATGTTTAGTCAAAAGTGCAATTTAAAGGGGTTTTCATTCGATTAATTATTGCTGTATGACTGTTATCATTTTATTTTTAAAGAATTGGTCTAATAGAGATATTTTAAAAAAATGTTAATTATGGATGGTCATGAGCCATCACTTACTGCTGTTCTGTCTCGTTTTATAAAGGACATAATCATTCTCATATTTTTGTCCAGTTGTGTGTTTATTCAAAAGATAGTAATAATGATGTTAAAGCAGATAATTTCTGTAGAGCCCACATTTGTACAATACAACTCTAGGTGCTTTGTAATACTTTCATCTCAACGCAAAATAAATAGTCATGAAATTAATGTTCATTACATATACTCTTTAGATTATGCTAACATTATGCAGTCATTTATATTATCACTGCACTATTGATGATGATGTGCACGTCGCGTTATGAACATAAGAGTACTTTGAATAAGGACTAATTATAAAGATGGCATTTCATGAAGTATGTTTTAAAATTACTTTTTAATTTTTCCTCCAACATTGTATCTCTCAAATGTTATGGGACAGAGTCCCAGAAAGATAGAGCTAGGGGAGATAAGGACTTGCTGGCAAGTTTTTGACCTCCTCCCCAGGTGCTCTCATAAAAGACAGCTCTCCTGATCTTACAGGTCTTGGAGAAACATACATTTGTATGAGCTTACTTACACACAAGGGGGCTTTATAATTAACCCATTTATGGCAAAGGACAGCAATCAGATGCCTGTTTGTTGGGTTTTCTTTCTTTTTTTTCATGGAGATTTTTAATCGTTTTATGCATTCTGTTACCATGTACTCAAAATGTATTGCCAATGAAAGTTTTTTTTTTTTTTAACCTTGACATTTGTGGTTACTTATGCTTGACAGGAGTCTCTGGATGCTTTGAGGTCCCTCCCAGAAGCCACCTTGTTTGAAGAGGGCTCTGTTTCGTCTGTTTGGGTGGAAGTCGTAGAGAGGGCCACTAAGTTTCTGCATTCTGTTGTGGCTGGGTAAGAATAATCAACTTTTGTTTTTCTTTTTCTCCTGGTTTGTTTGTTGGTGTTCAGTACAGTTCTGTTTGGTCTCAGTAACTACCCGGTACGTTTCCTTTCTGCTTTTGTGGAATTAATGGATTTTTTAAAAAAATGAGGTACCTCTTCTTTGATTGATTTTTACAAATGAAACATTAGGATACAAGTCATTTACATTTTTTCTATTGTTTTGCTTTTCTTTGATTTCCTAAACGAATACATAATTATATGAGAAATGAAGAAGCTCTGTAAGAGAATAAATATAGGTACAAAATGAAGTGTAGACATTTAACCAAACAGAACTGCCTTTTTGTTTGGATACAACAGAATGATGTTTGTAAAGTTTTATAAAAGCACACAGAGAAAAAAGTTTTAGGACATTGGTTATGGAGGTATTTGGAACATGGAGGAGGAAAGACCATGTTATTGTCTACTTGACACTTTGCAGTCACTTGGCGCAATAATGCGACGGTGAAAATTATCTGTTCCGGTCACATGGTTTCAGTTCTTAAGAAGTCCATTGCAGTCACTGTCTTGGCTGGTTGACCGGATGGGTTATTTTGTAGTGCTGGCTTTGTGACTGCAAAGTGTTTAGAAATCTTTTTGGCTGTCTTGTTTGATGACAGGAGCCAACATTAAGTATTCAGTAAAGACAACATACATTTCTTATCAAGTTTGAGTTTATGGGCTATTGACAAAGATGTCAGGAGGAAAAAATGGACTCGAACAATTCTTAGCACCGAAAACTGACGGAGTAATTTGTCTATATCTCGCTGTCTACTGTGATTTAAGACCTGATACGGTCCCCAGGGACCTGAATGCTGGGGCAAGCAGTGGTGGCCATGGAACATCATCCAAGGTCCCAGTACAAGACCAACAAATTGCTCTCTGTCTCATTCTGGAGCTGGCTGTACAGAAAGGGACTTTGAGCAGTGTATTGCAGGTTGGTTTACGAGTTTGTCTATTTTTGTATATTATCTTTGTTAGTCGAGACTGGAAGGTAGATCAAGTGGAAGACCTTCACTCCCAACAAAGTTTATTCCTTTCACACGATAGTACATTAGGGTAGTTTGAAGGTTGTGTTTAAAAAGTCGTGAAAGTTTGTGATAATTGATATTGTGTAGTCTTGTTAAAAAATGGAGTGGTGGATGCTCAAATAGAAAAGTCACCTGACCATTTCCATAACTTATTAAGCAAATTAGTTTACTCTAGATTAACACTTCCCTTCGCACAAGGTGCAGAATGCAAAACCTTTGTTCACACATACCAGAAAGCAGAGTGTGAAGGAAATTGGGGTGTTGGTGTATCGGTACTATACCTTCGTCTCTATAAAAACCATTTGGATCATTATGAAACTTTTGGGACTTTGATAAAATTGAATGTTATGACTACACATGTTCATCAAAATAGGAATCAGAATCGGAGCTGAAACCATTTGCTCATTCATCACGTAAAAATCCTTACGTGGCACTGCAAAGCAGCACTCATACTAGACCAGCTCCACATTTTTAAAGAATTTTCACTCCAGTCATTGTAAACAAACTGATTTCAATGTTCTAAGGCCACACAACCTGTCAGGAAGAAAGTTATAACTGAAACAAGTAAGCATGCATTAAAGAAAATCGTTTTTGTTGCTATGTTACACTGTCGCCGAATCAGCATCTGGTGGGAGAAAGAGGCGACTTCCTTATTGTCCTCGATCTGCGTCATGAAGAAAAACATATCTCTGATGTTTAACACAACTTCTTCTATACAAACCCCCCCACCCTCCAGGCTGTCCTGCTCCTGCTGAACTTATGGAACAACAGCCACCATGACTACGACAACCGGGTCAGTAGCAGCCTGGTCTCAGCCCCTCTCATCCCCCTCCTTCGACGCTTTGAAGCCATTCACAATTCCAAGTCCAGAGCAACACTGGAGGCCAGATGGGAGGACGTAAGTAACATCGTTACACGTTTCCTGTTTTTCTTCCTTTTCTTTTTTCTTCCTTTAACTATTCATGTATATATGAAATGTGTTCCTCATCTGACATTATCTCGCTGGGTGTACTTTACATGCCATTACGTGAGCTGTTTAGGTAAAAGGCAGTGTAATAAATCTATGTGTAATAAAGGTCCGAAGCAACTTCTAAATACAAAATCTAATTATAGCCTTGAAGGTGTATGTGATTATTGAACTTGACCTAACAGTTTACTTCTTTGGGGGGGGGGGGGGGGG